CGCCGGAGTTTACGACATCACCTAGTCCCGAGATGGAAAAGAGTGATAGTAACGATAAAAAAAGCAGCCCTAACACTCGTAGCCCACGTAGGCGTAGAAAAAGCAGCCTCGATGTGCGTCTGATGACACAGACGCTGGATATAGACTTCTCTGCAGACCGTTGGCTTAACTGCCCTACAAAAGGGAGAAGAGCAAGCGCGCGAGCGCCTTCAACAATACTTAAAAAGAAAAAGTTCGGACAACAGGTAATGGATAAGGGGAAAGATATGCACGGAGAACACCTCAGCCCTACCCATTAAGGACAACCGCCTTCGGAGCCAAATCTGGATCGCCGCTTCAAGCAATTCTTCTCTAGCTGAAGATCAGGCCCAAACCACACTTTAAGAATGTGGACGAGATTGTCAGTCCAACTGAATGGGCCCCGTGAGAGCAACGCCCTTCTAAGAACCCAACTGCAAGCTATTTAATCTCTATATAGATTAACTCGCTTGTTTTAAAATTGGCGTTGCTACTGGAAAGCCTGACGTCATAAAATAAGTGTTTAAATGATTATGTATTGCAATATTAGAATGTTGGTACAAAGCCGAATAGGAAGTGGGGTGAGGCTGGTCAACACTGACTTTGCTAAACCTTGCTAATCTAATTCGCGACCCATTCATTCATTACAATTTACTCTATTACCACAAGAACTCATCCATCACCATTTGATCCAACATATACCACAATACCGCATATTCACTGGGATCCTACTAAAATACACATGACATACTAATTTGATAATATGCAAATTCTTTTTTTTTATAAAATTATATGTCATGAAATGAGGGGGGAAGGTGATGAACCCAATACTGAAAATAAAGTACAACCAGATATTCAAAATAAAAACTAAAATATTTTAGTAAGACCCGGCCATTCCACAGAAAAAAAAAAATAAAAGAGTGACCACTGTATTCTATCGCTAAGCAGAATCAAGTAGCTCACTCGCTAGTGGCAAGGGATGGACAGAATAAATTACGGAACAAGAAAGTCAAAATCTGATACAGTCAAGGTAAAAAGGGGACAAAGGACCTGGATCATAATAAAAGAGACTGTCGTGCTCAGGCCGGGAACAACAATTACTCGCATTAACAAGGTAAATAAAAGAGTCTAGCATAACCAGGGGTATGGTCCGTCAGGAGACTAAAAAATAAAATCTAGGCTGGCCCCGTTCATACGAATCAAGCTCGCGACTTTCACCCACCTTTTGCTGAAATCTCCCGATAACAAACACTTTCCACCAGTTCGTAATTGTTTAAAGGATTGCTGACCAAATTACCGTAACAAAAAGAACTCTCTACAATGAACACACGCTATGCAAAAACTTGTATATTCATTGCACCTAGCTTAGTACTGCATTTTATAACAAAATTTCAATCCAACTAAGAAAAAAATATTTGTATGAGTCATGTGCAGTAATAACTTGGAATTTTGTTGTGATTTAACTGTGTTACGAGTAACACATATATTTTCTTATTGAAATGTATTGAAATATTTGTGGTTGAATTAATTTGTGCGTTATCATAAAAATAAATTTTACCTTGAATTTATTTTGTATCTTGATATTTTTCTTGTACTATACGCTTGCTGAAAGTCATTTATAAAAAATATATATAATAAAAAGAAATGTAAATAAGGGTAAATAAAAGAATAATACAATAGACTAGGTTTGTTTATTACGCTTTCTTTCAGGGGATGTTTAAAAAACATTTATTAAAAGAAGAAAGTCACTAACACGTATTCTTTAAATAAAAATCTGCTAAAATGAAACCAGACGATTAGTAAAAATTGGCCTGAATAAAATTCGATGTTTAAAAATTTGTATATGTCTGATGTAAGAAAAACAAAAAACAAAATAAAACCTGACGGTTCATAAAAAGATACATGTATAAAATTTGGTTTCCAAAATTTGTAAAAAAGAGGCTCAAGTCTGATGATCTGAAAACCCGCTAAAATAAATTTTGTGAGCAGGCGTGGTTTAAAGATACATTTTGTAAATTTTTTATTGGGGAAACCCAAGTTACGCCTCTTAGTTGTCAATTTTTAGCCGATTTGTAGCTATTTAAGAAGTCTGGTTTGGTCTAAGGGCGAGAAGGGATTTGGCTTTCACAGGTGAATTACAGTGTGTTGTTTTTCGGAACTGAAGAAAGGAAAACGAAAAGTCAATTCCGCCGCCGACAACGATAACAACGTAACAGAAAAAAATTAGTGAAAGAAACAAAAAGAAAAGTAAGCAGAAAGAGAAGATTTTACAAATTTAGAAGAATTAAAAAATAGCTTTCGAGATTTGAGCTCTAATTCTTGAAAGATATATATATATATATATATATATATATATATGCATAGATAGATAGATAGAGAGAGAGAGAGAGAGAGAGAGAGTCGTGATGCGAGTTCGCCTGACCGCTCAGATAAGTTGCAAAATAAACAAAAAAAAAAAATTAAGATGAAAGAAAATTACTTGTTAAAACATAATAAATTGATAATATTTGACTCTGCTTATCTTAAAAATTAAAAATAATATTTTTGTATAGGTCCTCTTATATGACAAACCTTGAAAATCCTTTATGTCTGACATAACATTGGCTTTCATACTCCCTGAATACTCGTTAGATAAAAAAAGAAGTTCTTGCACCAGATTTTTGTAAGCGAAACAATTCTCAGTGAATGTCCTGCTTGAATCGGAAACACGCTTTTTCCCTCCCTCGAACTCATTAACAAGGAATAAAAAATATCAAAAAAATCTACAAAATTGGGATTCTACACGAGCAAAGATCTTCACAGGGAACAAAATTGTCATTACGAGATAGAATTGGAATTCTTGAGGAATGCTGTTTGAATTCTTTGTCGCCTTAATTTTCCATTTCATCCCTCAGATACGAACGCAAAGGGTAAAAAAAAAAAAAAATAGATAAATAAATAGAAAACCAAAATGTAATTTTTTTAACGGAGCGAGCAATTTTCTCGTTGTTATTAAGGTGTGCGTGGCAAAGCATTCTTTTCTATTTACTTTTCACTTTGCAATTCAGACCCTGCGTTTTGATCAGAGCGAAAGAAAAAAATAAAGGCAAAATAGGGGTCATTTTAGCTTGGAGTGCGGCCTGTTAGAAATGATCTCACGAAAACTGTAGATATGATCAGTTGTTCCAACGCTCCCTGCCAAACGACATACTTTTATCGAGATTGCATGTGAGAGAAGTATTCATTATATGGGCTAAGTTGATATTTAATTTATCATCAAGAATAAACGACAGAGCCTTGGGACCAAGAGAAAAAATGTCCACTTCTTTCTCCGGAAATTATGAATTATGTTCAATATCTGTAACATACAAAATTTTTTTTCATCAAATAAATAAACGTAAATTTATCACAGCATTATGAAGTCTGACATTAACCTCGTATCAAATACTACTGAAAATTGTTGACGTTATGGATATTTTCTAAAAACTTCCCATTATTATAAAATTTAAAATATATAGATCTATTCTATGGTAATAATTTTCTAACTTCGAGTGTTTGAAACTTGTAAAATTTCTATAAGTTTGCATGCATTTATTTGATGAAATTATAAATATCTTTTGCATATTACGGACATTAATTTTTATCCAATGGATATGGAGTGGATTCCAGTTAATTCAGTATCAAAGAATAGTCGCAAAATAGGAGTAATTTCGCAAGAACAGAATTTTTTTTCAGATGATCTTTTTCATGTAAACTTGTTTAAAAGGAACGATCGCTCGTAGGTCTCGATGCGCGTTGCATAAGTGGAATCATATCCATCTATCTATCTTATTCCTTTAATATTTATCTCAGTTCCTATTGATTTCGATAAAATGCGCGACCACTTTCGTTGTAAAAATATATGTATTTTATTTACGCTTTCCCATTTCCAGTACCACTTCAGTACATATTCCGTGACTGGAGTCTAAGTCAGTTATTTATCTATTTGTAAGACTAATTTTCATGAGATGACGTTTCAGAGTTTTGAGTTAATATCTCTATGTATATTTTTCAAATGCCTCACACACACACACATACATACATATATGTATGCATCATATATATATATATATATATATATATATATATATGTAGGAGGTATGAGGGTGGGCAGTACCGAGGCTTGCCAAATTGCCAGAACGTCGACTACCAATTCGATGTTATCCAAGATGAAAGGTTTGTTCCAAGTGGTCGGATAAGCCAGAATGGTTTAACAAATATGACTGAGAGTCTTTGACAGTCAGGCACGATGCCAATGTCATAATTCTTACGGGACAGCAATCAATGGTATCATAACCGATAACCGAATATGTTTACAAGGGTACCCGCAATAACTTGCCACTAGTGACGAGTGTTTATCAAGAGGCATTAGATGAAATCTATATCTTCAAAGCATCTCAGCATCGTCGTTGACTTGTTAACCATGAGGCATCCTGATATTTTAGCAAATGGAATTTTGTGTAGCATTACCTTTTCATGATGAATAAAGAAAGTTGGTGTTTTTCATGATGGAATCAAATAAAATTAGGTGCGTGATATAGTTATTAACGCAAAAAGAGGAGAACAGATAAAGCCAGAAAGATGAAATACAAAATATAAAAAAGCAGAGGAGATAATAAGAAAAGCACAATAAACTAGAAAGTGCTCAGAGAGCATATACTTCTACTAATTTCGAAATTGTCATAATATATAAAATATCTTACAACTTGGAAAATCCCAAATCTATCAGTAAATTTTAAACGTTCTTCGTCTAGGACCCAACTTTTCACAAAATATTGAAATTAATTGAAAATTTTAGGAGATGTTATTGGGATAGATCGATTAATATGGGTGAATAAATAAACTCTATCCAACTTTATTAGCACAAGTAAAAAGAAAAATAAACGAAGAAAAAAGCAATTGAAAGTCAAAAAGAAATAAAAAGAAACTTTTTTGAAATAATTTGAAAAGCAAAGTAGGAGAAACTAAAAATAAGAAAATAAGTGAAAGAAACGAATGAACGAAACTAAAAAAAAAGGATGAAATAAACAAAGAAAGAAATAGATGGAATAAATCAAGAAAGAACAGTAAGAAATAAATTTAAAAATGAATGGCATAAAAGTTGAATGAAAAAAATAAAAAGAATAGAAAGACGAAAATAATGTAAACGAGGGAAAAGACGAAAACAATGACAAAAGAAAAAGATTATTAACCGGATGAAGAAAGAAAGAAAGAAAGAAAGAAAGAAGTGAAAAAAGAATAAAAATGGAAAGGTGAAGAACAGAAAAATATATGAAGACCAGAGAGAGATAAAAATAATAAAACAAAAATAACGAACTGTAATTTTGGAATTTCTTTATTTAAATAATAATAATAATAATAATAATAATAATAATAATAAACGTATTTTACACCAAAATATTACCCGTATTTACATGACTTAAGATGAAAACAATTTATACACACGTACATTATTTACAAACATTTTTCTTTCTTCTGGGTCCAAAACAGAATGCCGTTGATAGCTCTTCGGTCGAGTTGACAGATAAAAAAATTGTCGATCATCCACTACTGTCATTTTGTTGATCAGCAGTAGATAAAGTCTTATGTAATACTCGATTGGCCAGGTTAAAAACCCTAACTCGATTTGTAAGTCTTAAGATGGAAAACGAGAGATCACTCCCGAGTTAAATAAAGTTATTCCACATACCCCGAGGCATCATGTCGGTGTAAAGACATTAATTTGTTGGGTTATTGTTGCTTGGTAGAGATTTCATCTACCATTCAAAATGGGATAATCTACGTGATCTGTTCATAATCTACCTAGAGATTTAATATTTAAAAGAAAAAGAATAGCTTACTTCGTGGACTGGCGTATTAGTTCTCTTTAAAGTACTGCCCATTAGGACCTTACGAACTTCCACAGCGTTCCTTCCACTTTACAGTCTACGAATCCTCTTTTGGGATTGCTACCAGCTACCTCATCATGTTCTCTTTAATCCTAATTTTGTCCAAGGTTTGAATTTTTTTTTCAACGGGAATTTTAGCTTTAGGAAAGTTGTGGAGAGTAAAATGTGAACTTTCGGAACTGATAAACACGGATGATGCGATCATTAGAAAAGAAAATGCGATAGTCACACATTACAAAAGTTCATCCAATGATATTTTACCGCCGACTGAATAACCCCATGAGAGAGTTTATGCTTGCGCAACGCGGCTCTCTCTGATTGACTTACAAACCGGTTCTCGAGATTTTCAAAATGGTTTAATACTTTCCTGGCTTTCGTATTTGAAGAAGTCATTGTATTCCGAGATTAAAAAAAAAATACCTTCTCCGATTAAATACATACATAAAGATAAAATTTCTCGAATGAACACACACACACACGCGCGCGCACTCACGAAAAACACACGCACACGTATATATATTGTGTATTTAGACAGCAGTCTCATTAATATACATTTGATTTAAGATGACAGAAAATTAAATATTTTAAAATTAAATGAAACACTTCGTATAGAGCAATTTCTATCATTCTATTATCAAGATAAGGGGAAACGGTAGATATTCGTGTTTCAAATTTTCTAAATAGTTTTTGGTGTTTGCTGTTTCGAACGAGGCAACATTCAACCGAAAGTCAATACGAAGCTAAATCATCTCTCAGTTGTTAAA